AAAAAGAAACTCGTCGGGCGGAGCTTTGTACTGACATCGAGTTCTACGAAGTTTATGTCTTTGCCGGCTTGGTGATTATATTTTTTCATGCGCATGTTTTTATATTTTATATATATATATATATATATATATTATATATAATCAATCTTTATGCATGTATTTTTAAATCTATGTGGGTGTATTTTTTATATAACTAACTGTTTAGATACATTTTTACACTATGGAGAGTCTTATTCTTTTGCCTTGCATGGACCATTATACTGTGGATTGGGTTATGCATATTCAACTGGCGGTGTTCCTGAGCACTATTGGACAGAGTATTGGACTCTCCTCATGGAATAACTGGACAGCAGTTGTTTGGAGCATTTTACTTCTCTCACCTTCATTATCAGTGATGATTAAGATCTTTACTCAAAGTAGAATTATGGCCTTCCATAAAAAAATATGTGCTGCAAGTCTTAAAGCCCAACTCCAGTAAAACTAAAACTCCTCCTTTGCTGCAAGGGTTAAATATTTGTTTCCGTTTCGGGGAAATTAAAACTGTTTTACTTACCTGATCCTCCGCTCTCATGGAAGAAGAGGCTCCAGCAGTGCACTGCCCCCTGGCATCCAACACAGAGTCATGGACCTTGCTTTCGTCTTGATGTCAGAGGACCTTAGACCATGTGAGTGCAGGGGGAGAAGAGGTTGTGGGGACAGGTCTAGCACTGCTAAGAGCCTGCAGGAGCAGAGGATCAGAAAAAGTAAAAAGTGCTTTTTCAAGACCCATAGACTAGTGATTTTCAACCATAGAGGGACCATGACCAGGTAAATTCTCCAAAAACCTTTCATGCCTCAGCATTGACCATTCCTGACGGGTAGATCGTGATCGACCGGTTGCCAACAAACATTTTGAACCTTACTGCTTACCTTACTCTATCCATAACAAACAAATCAGAATGAATGCACACACCAACCAGAATGCAATACAGAGGAATGCAAACTTGCAACAAGCAATTTCAAACTGGGTATCAATGAAAGAAAATGATAAACCAGGGCATTGAGACTGGCAGATAGCAGAAAAATGTAGATTGCATGCTTTCCTGCCAACCTATGATGTGCGCTGTGGTCCAGCTAAGCCTGGGGGGGGGGGGGGGTGTCGCAGAAGGCATCTTTGTATTTTCTGCAAAACTCTGTGCTGATCAACAAGCTCCTTTCCCCCCTCCAGCTCCAGACAGGACTCTTGCCTTCAAATGGGGCTACACTACAATGTTGCAGGCTCAGGCTTGCAAAGCAGGTTTCAAAAGCATTTATGCTGAGATCCTCCATGACAGCGAGATCCGTGCTGTCCTGCACTTCTGACCTCCAGAATGAAGGCAAAGCTGCAAGGCTCCTTCCAGCCAGATCATGCTGTTGATTCGTATTAATAAGGAAGCTGGAGCCTGATGTGCATCAGTTTGCTGGGAATGTCAGGCACCCAGGGCGACCAGAGCTGGTCAGAAGGATCCCCGAATCTCCATCCCTACTCCAGGAGCTGACAGAAGTGCAGGACAGTGCACTCCTGCAGAGCCATGGCCCTCATCTGCTCCAATAGCTAATGTCAGGTAACCCTTGCAGCGCGGGTGCAGCATCAATGCAAAGGAGGAGGAGTTTTACTTTTTCTGGACTTCAGCTTTAATTATAAGTGCATCTGCCCCTACAATTTTCCTGCGATGGTTCGGCAATGATGCCATCAAGCATTGCCACTCTCACATAGGCTGTGTCTGCTTGCACTACAGTGAGAGGAATAGATGAGATGTTTCAAGGGATATTATTATTATTATATTATACAGTATTTATATAGCGCCAAAAGGTTTGCTCAGCGCTGTACATTAAAGTGGGGGACAGTACATGAGACAATACAGTAACAAAACAAAACACGAGTGGTTCGAGGGCCCTGCTCTTTCAGCTTACAATCTAGGAGGGAGGGGATAGTGGTACAGGAGGAAGTGGCTGTGGGGGATGGAGTGGTAGGAGGAGATTGGCTGTTAGGTGAGGGTGGGGTAGGCTTCCCTGAAGAGATGGGATTTGAGGGTGCGCCTAAGAGGTGAGGAGGGTAGGTGACAGTCTGATGGATTGGGGTAGTGAGTTCCAGAGGATGGGGGGGGAAGTCCTGCAGTTGGGCGTGGGAGGAGGAGACCAGGGAGCTAGAAAGTAGGTGGTCTTGTGAGGAGCGAAGATTACGGGTTGGGTGGTATTTGGGTATCAGGTCGGTGAGGTAGTTTGGGGCAGTGTTATGAATGGCTTTGTATGTCAATGTTAGTAGTTTGAATTTTATGCGTTGGGCAATCAGAAGCCAGTGGAGGGGAATGACAGAGGGGGGTGGCAGAAACAGAGCGGTTGGTAAGATGGATGAGTCTGGCCGCTGAGTTCAGGATAGACTAAAGCGGGGATAGTTTGTGATGAGGTAGGCCGGTGAGGAGGGAGTTGCAGTAGTCCAGACGTGAGATAATAAGGGAGTGAACGAATTGTTTAGTAGTGTCTGGGGGGGAAAATTAGAAGCTCGGTTTTGGAAAGGTTCAATTTGAGGAAATGTGACAATATGAATATCAGCACTTTCCCTGCCGATTCAGAAACCTGTAGCTTGTCAACCAGCACCCGGCTACACTTAGTTTTGCTCACTACTTTCTGGATTGGCAGAACTGACTTCGCTGCTGAAAGCCTCCCACTGTTAACTGCAGTGTCTCAGAGGGGGAACATGTGAGATACAAATGAAGGAAGATTTGGCTCAGCCAGGGTAGGTAAAGGAAGTTTTTTGTTCACTTTATGAAACTTGTGCATCACAATAACTGGATTTGAGATTTGTTTAGACCTGGGTTTCTCCATGTAACCCTGTTTCACAAGAGGTTGCTAGGGTTCCTTGAGCAATAAAAAGTTTCTGCTTCCCAGTAACTGATGATATCAATTATCTTTTGCACTGTGTATAAGGGGGCAGTTTTTCCACTAACTATTAACAACTTGCCCTCCAGAAGATTTACCCCCCTTTCCTGACCAGGCCATTTTTTGCGATACAGAGCTGCATTATGTAACTGACAATTGCACAATCATGCAATGCTGTACCCAAGTGAAATTTATGTACATTTTCTCTCCCCACAAGAGCTTTCTTTTAGTGGTATTGGATCACCTCTGCGGTTTTTACTTTTTGTGCTATAAACAAAAAAAGAATGACAATAAAAAAAAAAAAAAAAAGTTTAATTTTCTGCTATAAAAAACATATCCAATAAAAAAAAAATTAAAAATCAGATTTTTTCATAAATTTAGATCAAAATGTATTCTGCTACATATTTTTGGTAAAAAAAAAAAAATCTCAATAAGTGTATATTGATTAGTTTGCGCAAAAGTTATAGTGTCTACAAAGTCTGGTACATATACTGGATTTTTTAAAATTTTTTATAGTAGTAATGGCGGTGATCAGCGACTTATAGAGGGACTGCAATATTGCGGCGGAAAATTTTACACTGACACTTTATGGGAACCAGTGACACCAATACAGTGATCAGTGCTAAAAATATGTACTGACACTGTACTAATAATACTGTCTGGGAAGGGGTTAACATCTAGGGTGATCAACGTGTTAAGTGTGTTCCTAGCTACATGCTTGGTGTACACAAGCTCTACAGAGAGAAACGATTCATGACTTTCCCCTGTCACAACAGTGCTATGGCTATGTATACATAGACATAGCCCTGTTCTTCCTTCTTGACTGACGATCTGCAGGTGCCAGTGAGCAACTGTTCATCAGGGCTTGCAGACCGATTTGTGCTGTGACAGTTCACAGCTGAAGATTTCCTCCAGCGGTGCATGCATGCCCGTGTGGCGGACGTGCAAAATAACATCATATACATGATTTTGCACAGGAATGTCGCCCTGTAGCAGTAAAACTGCTTTAGGGTGAAGGGCAAGTGGGGTTCTTCTCCCAATGGCTACCAAAGCATGGGACCACTACACCAACTACCAATATAAGAAGGCACTTTTCCATTGACCACTATTTTAGGGGAACTACATTTTTTTTTACCATTGGTGTTTTTCTTGCCATTCTGATTATTTACTCAATTTCATGATTGCCTCTGAAACATTTTTTTTTTTTTTTTTTTTAGAGCAGGCCAGTCTTATAAATCTGCTGTGTGTGTAAAATATGCTAGATACAGTACACTACATTTTTATTCTATTTGCTAGTATTAGGTTTGCAGTTTATAGGCCATGCAAATATGCAGGTACATGAAAATTAATTCAAGGGTTCCTCTGTATTGGAAAGGTTGAGAAAGGCTGGTTTAGACTGTCATGCAAGAGCCTTGAGATAGACTTTACCGGATATAAAGAGAATCTTTTGATTCAATTAATATTAATATCAATATTAAGAGTACTAACTTTCAAAACACTCAGTCCCGATTAATTCTCTGTATTTGTAATATGAACACAGTAAAAAAATTCAATTCAAGAAAAGCAAAACATAATTGGTTATTAGGATGAATTAGCCTTTAAAAAAAATTCAGTTTTAATCATAAATGAAACTCGTACAATGGGATTCTTCATGCAGCAAGACAGATGGGAACCAATATACAGAAGCATACAATCAACTCTCTTATTCAGTATGTGCATTTATTGGTAAACACTGAAAAATAAAAATCACTCACTTCTATGATAGACTCCAAAGTGGCAGGGGTTGTCCAGGACAGGGTACAAGTGGTGCCCTGGCAGTAGGGTTATATGTGGTAAAGGTGTGCTTGTCCTAGTGTGTCAGGGTGCAGATGGTTAACTACAAGTTTTCACACAACTATCACCTCTTGATATCACCTTACCAGCTAATCTAACATTAGTATCATAACACCAATTAAATTAATTGTCCAAAGGTGTTCTACTTCCTCATCCATATATTATTCCATGGTGTGATTTCTTCCTTGTTATACTCTTTGATATGATAATGTATTTCTTGCCCAGCTATTCAAGGAAAAAAGTTTAATACTTCTAGTTTAGCTTGTTACCTTGCTGGACAGGCTGTGCTTGTGAAAGAAGGAATTGTGAAGCTGACTGTAGATGGCTGGGGACCAGGACTAGTTGCTGGAGAGAATGTATAGATGCCATATCCTGCAGGAAGACAGAAAGACAACATATTAGCAAGCACTGTCATATTTAGAAAGTGAAAGATCTACAAAGGACATCAAACACAAGATACAAATCAAGATAAAGATGTGAGACTGTGATTTTCACTGTTTATGGTGTTATGGTTCAGACATGATACGATGGATAACAATTATGTTTGATATCATACTACCCATGCTGTATTATCTTTTCGTTCAATATAATATTTTTTTTTAACAAAAAAATTGTCAGTACAAAGAATGCACTCAATGGACAATGACATACATAAAAGAAATCCAGTATGACACATGAACAGGTTGAACAAGATACAAATAACAGTGAAACAAGTAACAATATCATCTGAAAGATAAAGAGGTAACGGTCATCCCAAGCAGTTGGTAGTGCAACATGGTCTATCCTCAGGGCTGGCAGTGCATAATAGTTGTCACAGACCAGTCAAACCATTGGGATAGGAAATAATAGAGAGCAGTTGTAGAAATGGAGAAGGTAGGAGGGGAAGTAGGGAAAGTGGTAGGGGTTCCTGGAGGTCACTATGTGCAAGTTGAAAATGGACCACATCTTATTTGGGTCTAACTGTCCTCCAATCAAAGTTCAAACAATGAACTGTCAAAGTTTGTGGAGAGAAAGTGAGACTCAAGCTGTAATATTTTCATGGTTTTTGAAACCCTATCCTGTAGGGTATCTTCAACCTTGGCATGTATCATGGCCTGAGTAATACAATTTTTGGTCTAAAAATTGCATCTGGAGTGTGTTTACCAGGCTCTAACCATCACCTGCTCAGCGGCCATAGAAGGTGCACCTAAGGTAGGTCACTAAATGTTATTTTGATATTTTCCCTGAGCCATTGGGGTCAGAATCACACATGTGTTCAAATACCATCATCTGGTCGAATGACATAGTTGAACAGATACGGAGTAAAAAAAATACTTGATTTGGAGATATCGGAAAATTTCAGAGCTGGGCAATTTGTTTTGTTCGCATAGAGCAGCAATGGGAATGGGCGAGTCGTCCTGAGTCAAGGGCTGCTACATCCCTGGACTAAATCACAAGGATAACCGTCTCCTATGGGACTTTAATGCAGCCATAACATAAATGCATAAAAAAGCATTTTGATACAAAATACATTTTTAAAAGATAAAAAGATAACAAAAAACAATTTTAAAACTCTGGCATTCAAGATATATACAGTCGTACAACCTGTAACTCTAGAATTTATAACACATGATCCAACATCAATAACAGTTGCAAACAGCCACTTATACAAGCTTATTATTGCAGTAAGGTCTGTCAAACTAATTTTGTATCAATAAAATACTTTTTTTTAAGAGTTTGTTGGTATGGCTGCATTGATGTCCCATGGGAGACAATTTTCCTTAAGATTTCAGAGCAGTGGATATGCCCAATGACGCAACTTAGTTAGACATCATTTTCTGTTTGAAGAGATATGACAACAAGGTCTAAACTACACTCCTGTAATGCCAAAAGAAATAAAGATACATACTCCTCATGAAACTGATCATAGCCTGTACAGTGTTGAGCCTCAGGTGGGGGGCAGCAAACCCAGAAAAGGCCTATGCCATCTCAGGGTATACAGTGCCCTTCGCAGAGTAAGCGACAAAAGTCCGGGCAAGCCGTCACATGGCCTGTGAAACCAGGCTTACCTAAGCAGCTAGGAGAAACAAAGGGGGGGGGGGAGCAGGGTGGGTAAGGGAGGGGAGGGTGGTGAGTAGGAAAGCAGCAAATGGAAAGGGGGGGGGGGGGGAAACAAGATCAGGGAGGGTCCCACACAGTTAAACCTTATTTTACCTATATGTGAAACAAATTCAGATCAATGAATGCTGGGTAAAATTATGGATTTTTAAGAAAGGAGAGAATGCCAAAGCTATTCCCATAAGGTTAGAAAATGTAAAGTAACTGGATTGGAAACACCCCTACAATTAGACGTTTTAAGCCATAAAATGTTATCAAGAGTAAGGAGGCCACAATCTGCAGCCTCCAAATGAGGTATTTCCTATTAGTTGCGCTAATTTTAGCTGCATAGTAATATTTCTAGAAGTTAGGTAGTCCTAGGCCTCCCTTCAATTTAGAACCCATCAGAGTAAGTTTAGGAAAGCTCAGATTTACAGATCCCCATACGTAAGACACCCATCGTTTCATAATCTGTAGGTAACAGGCTGGGGCTGGAATAGGCAAAACTCTAAAAAGAAACAGCATATTGGGGAGTAAGGTCATCTTGAATGCCGTTATTTGTATTGTCCTGGAATTTTTGGGTCTCAAGAAATGATAGGCCATCAGTACATCGAACTGAGTGATTTTCAAATATATGAAGCACTACCCCCTTAAGAATCGATGAGTTTTTGGTCCCTCTATAGTTATGCACAGCCAGGAAACATGCATTTTCTTGCACACTTGCACTCTGGAGATAGTAAACAGTCCTTGAGCTTAGTTTTAGGTTTTATTAAGGGGTATTGAACGTGGATGGGGCTAAGGGGTGTATGGGATGCCGAAGGAAACTGTGAACGGAGTATAAACTCCTTAGAAACTATGTACAGTTCCATAGACAGCAAAGTCTTAGTTGGAATAGTTCTCCAGCCCTCCAGGTGTACCACCTCAGACCCCAGATGAATTCTCTTCACCCAGCTGTCTGAGGGAATCCCTGGGCAAGGGGATACAGAAGCTGCCACTTAAAAATTAACAGTCCCGGGTGATTAGCTAGTCCGGTTTCCCACCTAAATGCCCTCTCTCCTTATCTGACCCAGGGGCTATAGGATTGTTAGAATTCAGTCCTCTCCTGTAAGCCTGTGGGTTGGTGGCTGCCTTCAGGCCTTACGCTGGGCTAGCTCCTTCCCTGCTTCCCAGGCTGTTCTCTCTCAGGGGATGGTGAGGCTGAGAGATCCTCCTGTCCAAAAACTCTACTTGTAGATGGGCCCCTCCCTGGGCCCACTCCCAGGCTCCACTCCAGGCTTCTCACTCCATCCTCTACTCGTCACTCTCCTGCTGCTGACCAGGCTCTCACATTTAAGGGCTGTCCTGACCCCATGCCAAGCCTCCTGCTTGGGGATTGGTCAAGGTCCCTTAAGGGTGCAAATCAGCCCCTCCTCACCCCCACCTACTGCCTTCTAGAAACTTCTCAAGCTTCTAGAGCAGGGGGAGGTATCAGGCAAATGACTTGCAGAGCCCTAAGCCCTGACCTAAAATTGACCTGGCTGACTCACATCCAGGCTGACTCATACCCAGGCTGCTATCCAGCCTCTGCTAAAAACCTAGCTAGCTGGCTAACAAGAGGGATGCCAAATATAGTTTGTGGACTCTATAACTTTCCTATAGACTAAATAATAAACACTGATTTGGGTTATTGTCACCAATGAAATGTAGAAGAATACAATTTGGCATACATTTATCAAGAAAGTTTATTTACTAGCAATTTTTTTTTAAGCAGAAACAGAAAAAACACATTTCTTCCAACTTTTCAATCTCTCTTTATTTTATTTGGCAAAACATGAAAAAACCCAGTGGTGATTAAATACCACCAAAAGTTTGTTTGAAAAAAAATGCTAAACATTTAATATGGGTACCGTGTTGCGTGACCGTACAACTGTCATTCAAAGTGCAACAGTGCTGAAAGCTGAAAATTGGCCTGGGCAGGAAGGGGGTGTATTGAATTCGTTAAAGTATAATTTCTACATTTGCAACATATTTGGATTTGTGAAGATATTTGGTGCATAAAATGTGGATTTATGTCCTCTGAGACTATTGAGAAATATATTTAAACAAAAGGTTTGTGCCTGGAGTTCAACTTTAAATGGTGTTGGACGGTTTGTAACAATATGCTAAACATGGAATTGTATAGCCAAACAATGGGGTTGATTTACTAAAGGCAAATAGACTGTTCTCTTTGCAAGTGCAGTTACACTCATTTTCTCCAGAGATTAGTGAATGGAAATCAGCAGAGCTTCACCACATTCAGTAAGCTCTTAGAAGTGCATAGTCTATCCTAATAAATTAACCCCAATGTATTTACAACTATAAGATTGTTAATAAAACAGTAGTGTCATACCCCAGTCATCTGTCCTCCACCCATTATAGATCCTTGAGACAGATGGCATGGTCGATGAGGTATTCCAGGCTGCAGTGCTTCACTAAAATCTTCTGTTTTAATCTGTAACATATAGACACACGTTTAAATATGAAAGGAGGAATATGAACAAAACACATTTAACAATCAACTTCACAACAATTGATTCTAGGCAAAATGCTGCTGGCTAAAATTACAGTTCAGAGGGTAACTGTTTTGGAAATAAAGTGCAGGAACCAACAGTAAATTGTTTTCTACCATCTAACAAAATATCAATAACATTTCAAATGTATGCAATTTCACAACTTGGATACATGCCACTGTCCATTAAAAATGTAAAAAAAAAAAAAAACAAACAGTATCTACCACCACATATTTCATGTAAAGATAAAGATTTCCAAATTCAGATTATTCTTGTTTTAAGTGTAGCACTCTCCTAGCTAGAGTAGTCTGCTAGGCCAAATTTAGTTTTCGCTCCACTGTAATAATTGGAATAGGGTTTAATAATGTGGGCTGCTCATGGTTTCACAGGTTTCTGCTCTACCACTTCCCCTGATTTCTAGAAAATTCTAGAACACAGTGGGAGGGAGGGCAGAGGCTGCAGCCTGAATGTTTATGGAACCTAAGCCATTCCTTGGGAAAGTGTTCCCAGAAGGTGGGGAAGAGCCCATAAATAGTCTGAAGCCTGTGCAGCAAGTGCAGCTTGCAGTATGTGGATGTAGGAAAGTGTTCCTAAATCCAGCCTACTGGAGGAGACCCCTGTTGAGGGGCATTGCCTTCCTGGGCAGAAGCCAAGGAAGAAAGCCGGCCTGAAGACACTGAGGTCCCAGCTAAGCTTAGCTGGGATGTCTATTTGTAAAGCAACCCAAGAATCCACAGGGTCAGGAGAGAGCTCATAGGATAGAGCCAGTGGGAAGCTGTGGGAGAAAGCTCAAGTTGTCCAAGAGGAAGTGTAAGCCTACATCTCAATCACTAGGAAGATCCTGGTGGGATATCGGCAGGAGGCAACCGATGATCCTGGTGGCTGAATGGGTACAAGACGCTGCAAGTGTGACAGTGAGGTACTTGACACTGAGTAAAGCACAGGTCACAGGTAGCTGGAGATTGGGACTTTGTTGGAAGAGTACAGACAGAAGTTGTGCAGTACAGCCAAGCAGTTGTGGAATACAGTCAGGGGTTGTGCAAGGCTTTCAAGAGTTGTGCAGAGCAGCCAGGAATTTAGTTGTCCTCACGTTGTTCAAGTTTTACAGTTCCTTGGTATCCCATGCTCCTTACTGCCATCCAAGTTGATTGTTCCCTAGTAAAAAGCCCAAAAAGAAACCCCTAGACTGATTCTTGAGCCAGAAGAATGCTGAAAATGTTATGTGCCTGACTGTGTGCGCTAAAGGGCAGAAATTGGCCAGGCCCAAATTCACCAGTGGCTCTTTAGGGGAGCTCTACATAAGTTAATGGAACTATAACCTTTAGATGAAAAGATATAGTATACTTCTGCTTTAGCAATGTTTCAAGCTAGCCAGCAAACTAATGGAGGAACGGGCTGTCTCCAGGTGAGTCTGCTCTCAGTTTGTGCATATGTGCATATGTCCCATATGTGGGAACTTAGATCGTTTTGAGCTAGGGATCACAATTTTCTGTGGTGCTTTGCTGCCACGCAGTGGCGTTGCATGTATTTGTAGATGTACCGTATGCAACAAACACCTTTGAAAAGTTTAGTTAGGCTTTTGCTGCCTAACTTGAAAATGTGCTGGAGATTTTTTGTATATCACCCTGTGCACGTACACCTTTCTTGTACCTCTATATTTACTGCAAAATATGATCAACGGCTGCTGTTTAAAATGATATCGTGTGACTATTACAGTATGTAATGAAGCAGCACTGAAAAAACCCAAAGTGAACGTATGCATTTTACTTTAGGAGAGCTTTATTGTGAATTCAGTGCTGCAAAGTGAAGTACATTGTTTCCGTAATGTCGGGATAAGATTTAGTCAGATAGACAATAGTACAGGTTAGCATGACAGCAACGTTTTCACAGGTTTTCCATTTCTAAAATTCTAATTTTATTGTGTTCACTTACCTGAGCACTTACATGTAAATGTCATTCAGATCATCTGACATCATTGTTACAACCCTTTGTTGGGAGGAAGTATTAACTTTTTTTCTTCAGGAGGGGGTCTGGATCTGGTCAGTGGATACCCCTGAACCCCCATGTATCATGTACTTCTAAGGTCTCATTCACACAGGCGTACTACAGTATACACCAGTGCAAGGGCTGTCTTTGCCCTCACATTGGTGCACAGGTGTCCCATGCGTCCCCATGCAGACCGTACAATTCATGTCAGTTGGGATGCAGCAGCTGCTCCTAATTTGACAGCTGTGTGGCTGCATGGACCCAAGTGCAGACAGTGTGCATTTGGGGCTGTACACCTGTACTGGCACAGCTGTCAAACTGGGGTCCCCGCTGCTACTGTGTTCCAATAGACACAAATGGCACTGCCAGCCATTGTGTCCCATTTGATGTGAATGGGACTTCCTGCAAGGGGATGCATGGAACACCTGTACACCCCAGTGTTTGCAAACATTATCATTGCATGGGCATACGCTCAAGTGCACCTGTGTGAACAAGGCCTAATATTCATTTGTTGCTAGCTGCAATCAGCCAGGAATAGATTATAGCCATTATCAACCATAGGGAGATGCTAAAGAAAAGCCACAACATCTCTACCCGAGCCTCCATACCGGCTGGAAGCACCTTGATTTTGCTACACTGGAAGCATTGTTTGCATTCACTTCTACAGTGCACTCCTATGGCGCAAAATGTAGACGCATCAACACATCAGACACTGATTGTTGTAGCTCCCAAGCTTAGTGCTAGATGGTGGTTTCATCAAATTGTGCCAACAGAGGCCCTCAGGAGCTTCTGAGCCATTTTAAAGTGGCACCAGGATAAACATTTGTTTCCCCTGCACCATGTTAGAATGACCCTCTGGACTTAGGTGGTTCAGACTGAATTCAAGACAAACAGCTATATACACATGAAATACATAGGGAGCCGTTTTACCTGCCAAATAATTTGTATGTCTGTCCTTTAAATAAAGAAAGTTGCATAGCCCTGCCACACAGCCCAGCCCTGTCCAGCATGGCAAAAGACCTCCGTTTTCTCTACGGCACTGAGAGGTCTTCCTCATATCTGAGGCTGGACACTGACAGTAGGAGCAGCACACTGAAGAGCTCTGTCACTTTGCTTTCTCTTCCTGTCAGCATGCTCTTTGTACTGCTTCTGCTTTTTCCAGCCTGAGCTAGGGTTTCCACCTCATCCCTTTAAAACCGAACACATTAATTACACAGGTTCTGAGGCTAATTTATTGCACATAATGCTCAAATGCAGGCCATACATGGGTCGAATGCCGATCGATTTTTCGTCCGAAAATTGAAAATGTCATTTGCTCGGTAATCCGATGGTGCCATCAATGATTTCGAAAATTGGCCGACCAAGTCAAAGTTCACCCCAAATAACAGGCGAAACTTCTGTTCCTTCCAGGTCACGGTTCATGCGCATATTCTTTTCGGAAAAACGGTCATACGATTTGACCATCATTGAGTTGAAAAATTGGTCGTTTTTCACGAATTTTCCAACATGCACGATCACTGAAAAGGGAAGGAACCACAAAAATTGGCCAGTGCCATTGACCCACTAACAGAGCGAAAATCGTCCGATTATTCTTAGGTTAAATTTTCGGATGAAAAAAAATTCAACCCATATATGGCCGGCATAAGTAAGTTTAATTACCAGCTTAATCAGCCACAGAACCTGTGTAATTAATGTGTGTTCAGTTTTAAAGGGATGAGGTGGCAACCCTAGTCTGAGCTCTGTTGTACAAGGATTGCAAGAGACAGATGCAAAGTCAAATTCAAGCACTTACACTTTTTTTCTTTTTTTTTTCTGCAGCTAGTGTAAGGATGTCTTATTAAATACAGAGCAACATTAAAACCACTTGCCCTCCTGAGGATTTACCCCCCTTCTTGACCAGGCCATTTTTTGCATTACGGTGCTGCGTTACTTTAACGGACAATTGCGCAGTCATGCAACGCTGCACCCAATTTTAATTTATGTCCTTTTTTCCCCACAAATTGAACTTTCTTTCGGTGGTATTTGATCGCCTGTGCGATTTTTTATTTTTTTGTGCTCAAAAAAAAAAAATTAGAGAAAAAAACATTTTTGACCTTTTGTTATTAAACATGTCCAGTAAAAAAAAGTAAAAAAATCAAATATCATAAATTCAGGTTGCGTTACGGGAGAACCAAAACTGTATTCTGCTACTCATGTGTTTTGCTAAAAAAAAAAAAAAATATTCGTACATGTGTTTGCTAAAAAAAATCCCAATTGTAAATTAATTGGTTTACGTGAAAGTTATAGCGTTTACAAATGGCGATATATACTGTATACAGGGATTTTTTATTTTTACTAGTAATGGTGGCAATCAGCGACTTATAGCGGGACTGTGGGACTCCGGCAGGCATTCTGACACTGGGGGGGGGAACTGACTTGGTGTCACTGACATCCCCAGTGACACCAATACAGTGATCAGTGCTTATACAAAGAACTGACACTGTACTAATGGCACTGGGCATAAAGGGGTTAACATGGGGGTGATCAAAGGGTTAACTGTGTGCTGTTTTGCTAAGTGCTGTGTCCATGTGCTTCACTGTAAGCACACTGCTTTGGATGGCTGTGCACAGCCATCCAAAGCAGTGTGCACAATCTGACATGGAGGAGAACCGTTTTGTTTTGTTTACAAACAGTTCTCTTCCCCATCGGAGATGCTTGGCAATCACTGGGCACCAGCGAGTAATCACTGTCCGGGACCCGGTGATTGACAGCTTGTGCATCCCCCCTACCTGGAAATGCAAAATCACACTATATCTATATATATGATTTTGTGCACCCATGCCGCCCTGTAGCAATGTATCTACTATAGGGCAGTCAGGAAGCGGTTAATAGGTCTGTT